CTATGGAAATTGGTGCAGAGAGCTTTAAACAATTAAAACTAGAAATTTCTTTATATAGCTCTTCCCCTCTTAGGTGTCTTTGTAAAGAGCTAAATGCAATGATGCATGCTTCTCTGTGTTTGTAGGAACACACTTCACAGTATTTAAGCATTAAGCATTATCTGAAACACTACTGAAATGGGGTGCAACCTGGAGGAATAGCCCAGAGGACACAGTAGCCCCCAAAGGCACAACAGCAATAGCAGAGGAAGTGTCATGACTTGTGCCATCTTTTCTGCATAGGAAAAGAGAAAATCATGGGAACAGTAGAAACAATAAAGGTAAAGTCATAAATCATGACTATTTATGTTTTTGTATGGCATTACAGATTTCATAAGTGTTTTAAATATCTCACTCACACAGTCTCAAATTCCAGTGAAAACAATGTGAGGCAAGGAGCCCTCTCCTGTGCCCAGCATTCCCCACTCCCCCTCTGAGCTGTGTTCCTTCATGCAATAACCCTCACATCAAGAACCTTGCTTTTTACCCTTTCCCGCCTGAGATGATGACCTTTACCTCTGACTACCTGCTCCCAGCCATTGCCCTGCTCATCCCAGCCCTCAGATTTCCCCTCATACCAGGTATCTGTGCTGGGTTCCTCCTGAGCTCTGAGAGTCTGAGGAATCCTTCTGTTGTATTTGTCCAGCTGAGCATCACTGCTTGGCCCAGAAGTGGACCTGTTCTGACCCACAAAACAGAATCCTGTCTCTTTCAACATGGGAAGTCCTTAAATAAAGTGGAGCTCAGAAGAAAATCAACATTGAGGAAATTTTCCAGAGAACTGCCCCCCTGCCTGAAAATACAAGCCTGTGCTAGGGTACAGATAAGGTGAACACCTATGCCCACCCAATGGAATCCTGTGGCAGCCTGTGCCCACCAGGTTCTGTTGTCTTGAAGGCTGACCTCAGGCCTGTTCCTGATAAGAATGACCCTTATGGTTCTGAAGAAAGAGTCCTGTATGTAACTCCCTATGCCATCTGCAAACCCCAGGTTTATGACCTCCTCATGTCTCCCCACAGGTTGAAAAGTTTCTAAGGAATTAAACTTTTACTACAGGAATATCTGCCTCTCTCTGAAGCCTCAGATGTTTGTGTGCTAGTGAACAACAACAACACAAAGAAACACCTGCTCTATCTGTAAACCTAGACCCTTGCCCTGGTCCTGCACTCAGGCTTTAGGCCAAAGTCCAGCTGAACGGGGTGCACCTAATGAGTTCGTCCTATTTCTCAGGGTTTCCTCTAACCTCTTCAAAATTTTGCAACACTTAGGCCATGTGGATGAGTCTCTACACATTTTATCTTCTCTTTAAACTTTATCTGTATTTACAGGCAGAACATTCTCCTTGGAAAACAAAGGTACTCAAAAGTGTCTTGAAGGAATTAACCATCTCCTCCTAAAATTTTAGGGGTTTCTTCTTAATTAGAAGCATCAAGTGGCCAGGGAGCTAGCTCAGTAGAACAAACACTTGCCTGGCAAGCGCAGAGTCCTGAGTTCAATCCCTTGTACTGAAAAAAAAAAAAAAAAAAAGAAAAAGGAATCTTGAGTTTTATCATTTTGTTTCTTATATAGTTCCCTGTGGAAGGTTCAGCTTTATATTAAAATTTAAGTTAAAATATTCTACTAGGGAAAATCATTTTATGGAAAAATGAAAGAACAAGGATGGCAATAAACTTTTTCACAATGAGTTTGCTCTGAGAGCACAGATGTAGTGAAAACTACCAGTAAGTCAAAGCCAACATGGCAAAGGAAAAGACTCACATTAATATCATCATCATTGGAATGTGGACTCCAGCAAGTCCACCACCACTGGCCATGTGGTCTATAAATGCAGTGGTATTGCAATAAGAACCACTGAAAAATTTGCGAAGGAGGCTGCTGAGGTGAGGAAGGGTTCCTGCAAGGATGCCTGGGTCTTGGACAAGCTGAAAGCTGAGCTTGAGTGTGGTATCACCATTGACATCTCTCTGTGGAAATTTGAGACCAGCAAGTATTATGTGACCATCATTGATGTCCCTGGACACAGAGACTTCGTCAAAAACATGATTACAGACACATTGCAGGCTGACAGTGCTGTCCTGATCGTTGCTGCTGGTGTTGGTGAATTCACAGCTGGTGTCTCCAAGAACAGGCAGACCCATGAGCATGTCCTTCTGGCTTACACACTGGGTGTGAAACAACTAATTCTTGGCATTAACAAAATGGATTCCACAGAGCCACCTTACAGCCAAGAAAGAGATATGAGGAAATTGTTATGGCAGTTAGCACCTACATTAAGAAAATTGG